TTAGTGTAATAGAAATATGAAAGTGTGGTCCCTTTTCTCAAGGAGTTTAAATTTTATCCTAAGCGTCCAAAGTAGCATCCTGAAAACAAATATTAAGCATCACTGCTTGATGCTTAATATTTATGTAAGCCCAGCCGGGCCCGGTGGCTCACGCCTGTAATCCCAGCACTTTGGGAGGCCGAGGCGGGTGGATCACAAGGTCAAGAGATCGAGACCATCCTGGTCAACATGGTGAAACCCCGTCTCTACTAAAAATACGAAAAATTAGCTGGGCATGGTGGCGCGTGCCTGTAATCCCAGCTACTCAGGAGGCTGAGGCAGGAGAATTGCCTGAACCCAGGAGGCGGAGGTTGCGGTGAGCCGAGATCGCGCCATTGTACTCCAGCCTGGGTAACAAGAGTGAAACTCCATCTCAAAAAAAAAAAAAATTTATGTAAGCCCACTTCTAAACAACCTATGGAATGCTTGCCATGCCCGTAACTTTTTCTCAATATAGCAGCCACAGGAGATTCCTTAAGCTTTAAGTAGCCATTCTTTGTGTCAAGTAACCTTCTCATCCTGGCAACAATGTATTGGCCCAAGAATTTGAACCCAACAGTCATGGAAGATATTGGGGAAATTCTTGAATAAGCTTGAGTCCTCTGGCATCCCTGTGGAACAGTTATTCTCACATGAACGAGTCAGTAGTAGTTTATGACCACTGATCTTAAGCAAAGTATGCCAGGATTCCCCTAACTCATAACTGCATTGAGAGAACAAGTAACATTTGTAAACACTGTTATTTAGGAAAGTTTACCCTTTTTTTTTTTTTTTTTTGAGACGGAGTTTCACTCTTGTTACCCAGGCTGGAGTGCAATGGCGCGATCTCGGCTCACCGCAACCTCCGCCTCCTGGGTTCAGGCAATTCTCCTGCCTCAGCCTCCTGAGTAGCTGGGATTACAGGCACACGTCACCATGCCCAGCTGATTTTTTGTATTTTTAGTAGAGACGGGGTTTCACCATGTCGACCAGGATGGTCTCGAACTCTCGACCTCGTGATCCACCCGCCTCGGCCTCCCAAAGTGCTGGGATTACAGGCTTGAGCCACCGCGCCCGGCGAAAGTTTACCCTTAACATACACTTATTAGAAAGAGTAAGCAAGCAAAATGATAAACTTGACTGTTTGTATCCTAAAAGATTAAAAGAGCTACAAATAGTCCATTTCTAGCTCAGACGAAAAGGAGGAGTAGGCTAGGTGTGGTGGCTCATACCTGTAGTTCCAGCACTTTGGAAGTCCAAGGCAGGCAGGTCACCTGAGGTCAGGAGTTCGAGAGCAGCCTGACTAACATGGTGAAACCCTGTCTCTACTAAAAATACAAAAATTAGCCAGATGTGGTGGCACATGCCTGTACTCCCAGCTACTCAGGAGGCTGAGGCACCTTGAACCTGGGAGTGTGGGAGGCAGAGGTTGCAGTGAGCTTGGGTGACAGAGACTGTCTCAAAAAAGAAAAAGAAAGAAAAGAAGGAGTAGAAAAAATACTAATTATTAATATTTATTGAATGCTTACTCTATGCCAGAAACTGGTCGTTGTAAGTGACCTGAATGTATTCTTAATCCTCACAATTCTATAAGATGGACACTATTATCCCCTCTTACAGATGAGCTGGTTAAACAATTTGCTGGTGGTGAACAGCTAGTAAGTGAAAAGGCAGGGATGATGAACCGAGACAGTGGGCATTCAGATCATATGTACTCCACTGTGCTATACTACCCCTCCTCAGGTGGCTGCAATTGCAGCTTTTAATATTTTTCTTTAAAAAAAAAAAGATGAGGTTAGAATAGAAAAGTGTCAGCAATTAACGGCACTCATTGATAGGTACACAGTTATTACCTTATTCTTTGTTTCTCTGCATATTTCAATCACAATATTAACACAATTTAATTGTGCTGTTTAGCAGCAACAAAATAGATAAAGTAATCAGTATGTACATATGAGTCAGGGAAGACTTTTATAGAATAGGAGATGCTTGTGTTGGATCTTTAAAGAGTCCAAAGTTAGATAGGCCAGGTGAGATGGCTCACACCTGTAATCCCAGTACTTTGGGAGTTCAAGGTGGGAGGATCCCATGAACCCAAAAGTTCTAGACCAGATCTGGTAACAAAAGGAGACCGACCCCCACCCCCGTCTCTACGAAAAATAAAAATAAGAAGTAAAAAAATTAGCCAAGCATGATGGTATGCACTTGTAGTCCCAGCTACTCTAGAGGCTGAGAAGGGAGGATCACTTGAGCCCAGTAGCTAGGGGCTGCCGTGAACTATGATCCCACCACAGCCCTTCTGCCCAGGCAACAGAGCAAGACATTGTTTCAAAGCAAGCAGGCAAACAAACAAAAGTTAGATAAATAAATAGACATTCTGGGTAAAGGAGAGAGAATACCACATGTCATAATAGCAAGGTGTGAAGCTAGCCACATGCATTCCCAAGTTACAAATGATACCACTTGAGTGGAGAAAGTATTAGAGACAAGTCTTCAGGAAGAGGCAAGGGCCAAGACCTGAAGAAAGTGAATACTGTTCTAAAGAATATGGGGACATTGCAGGCACTAATTAACAAATAACATAGCAATTGAACTCTAGGGCGTTGATCCTTGCATCCTTGTTTCTTTGTTTTTTAAAGACAGAGTCTCTGTCACCCAGGCTGGAGTGCAGTGGTGCAATCATAGCTCACTGTAACCTCAAACGCCCAGGCTCAAGTGATCCACCTCAGCCTCCAAGTAGTTGGGACTACAGGCATACCCCAGCTAATTTTTTTTTTTTTCTGGTAGAGATGGGGTCTTACCATGTTGCCCAAGCTGGTCTCAAACACCTGCCCTCAAGCCCTCTTCAGGGCAGATCGTCCCACTTCAGCATCCCAAAGTGCTGGGAAACAGGCATGAGCACAATGCCCAGCTATATCCCTGTTTCTTGACGAAGGAGAAATTAGCCATTCTTGAATCTGGAAGACATTAGTACCAGAGAACTCAACTGGAGAATACTGAGGAATCCTCCAGAAGCAGAAAACTGCAGGGAGGGGACAACTTCCACTGAAGCCCATAGGAACAAGCTAGTGACTGCGTGAAGGAGACAGCCCAACACCTGAGGACCATGGAAGGTAAGGAGCTAGAGCCATGTGTTTGTCAATTTCAATTTGCATGCAGGCTTTTCATAATTTTTCTAGATATTTTCTTTCATCCTTTTTTGGTTTATGGTTTGCTTTGTTGACAGACAGCTTGTTGTTTTTTTTTCTTGAGACGGAGTTTTGCTCTTGTTACCCAGGCTGGAGTGCAATGGCGTGATCTCGGCTCACCGCAACCTCCGCCTCCTGGGTTCAGGCAATTCTCCTGCCTCAGCCTCCTGAGTAGTTGGGATTACAGGCACGTGCCACCATGCCCAGCTAATTTTTTGTGTTTTTAGTAGAGTCGGGGTTTCACGATGTTGACCAGGATGGTCTCGATCTCTTGACCTTGTGATCCACCTGCCTTGGCCTCCCAAAGTGCTGGGATTACAGGCTTGAGCCACCGCGCCCGGCAAACTATGATTTCTTAGAGCCAGATGGAACCGGCTTATGAGAATCAACTGTAACTTGTCAGGAATCTTGCTAGATGGTTGAGAAACCATTGGTGGCTTGAAATCAGTCTACAGAAACATGCGCACCATAGAAATCAGAAAACACAGTTTTATTTGTCCTTACAGTGTGTGTCTAGAAATATTACTGCCAGTGTTCTATACGCCAAAGTTATTTGAAGTAATCATTTCCCCTGTGTGATTAGGTTTCATATTCAGGTCTGTGCATTTGTTTCTATTTGCGTCCAATTGTTTCTGTTTGTGTTTGACTTAATTTTGGTTTTTGAATATGTGAGTCATTTACATGATTGAAAAGTAAAAACCGTATAATGAAAGATACTCAGAGAGTTCTTGCTTTCACCCCTGTTGCTATTCCCATCTCACCCATCCTTCAGAAGTTGACATTTCCATTTTTTTTTAACTGTCACTCTAAGGATATGCTTAAGTTACTCCATTTTCAACAATTTCTTGTTTATTATTTTTTCCAAAAAAAGTACATATATATATATGCATAAGTGTGTGTGTGTGTGTGTGTGTGTGTGTAAATGTGCCTAGTTTATTCAATCAGTCTCCTATTCATGGATAGTTGTATTGGTTTAGAAGAGTCACTGAATCGAAGGGTAGAAGAACATGTAATTTTGTTAATTATTGCCAGATTTCCCTCCAGGGGAGTTGTGCCATTTTGCAATCCCACAGCAGTGTGTGGAAATACCTGTTTCTCCCCAGGCTTACCAACAAAGTATGTTGTCAAGCTTTTGGACTTCTGCCTAAGAACTGTGAGGGGTCTGAGATTTTTGCCCTCCTTGCATGGTGGATGCCTTGCCCTGGTGGGCTTGTGTCACAGCAGAAGGACACTGAGATTAGGAAACCCCCAGTCTTATAAGGAGCTGCTAAAAAACCTATGTAACATTTGTCCTGGAGGAATATGTTGTTTTTTCATCTTAGGTGACAAATCTACCCTCTGTCCTTCCAAGATGTTTACAACACAAAAGACATTGAGAAGAGAAGCTGTCAAAAGATGTATGGAAACACCATGAAGGACTGTCTTCCAACACTGCCAATCTGAAAAAGGAAGAATAATACTTGAGTATACGCTGTCCAGTACCTCCTGTGAATATCGAAATCCACAAATGCTCAAGTTCCTTATGCAAAATATGGTAGTGTTTGTATATAACCTATGCACATGCTCCGCTGCAGCCTGTTATCTTAACATGAGTGCCCACGACCTTGTTTAGTGTTAACGGCGGAGCAGGTCCTGAGCGGGCACTGGGCATGGCCAGGCCTGGAGGAGCGGCGTGCACAGAGCCAGGCGCTGGCTTCTCTGTGAGACCTCGGGAAGGGGGGAGAGCATCAACAATTTAAGGAGGGTCCAGCCGCTGGGTCAGATTGAGACAAACCATGTGTGGTTGGGTTCCGGTCAGCAGGCTGGAGAGGTTTCTGCTTTTTGATCATTATCGTTTGGGGCCCCACGGGAGGGTCTTGGGGGGCCACCTGAGCCCCAAAGCTGGGAAATTCCTCAGAGCTGCTCATGTCAGGAGGCTTCTCACTGCTGCTGGCAGTCTAGGGCGCGTCCCGCACCACAAAGCCTCTGGACCGCGCCCTGGCCTCCTCCTGTTGCGTGGGTTTCACGTACACCTGCAGCGCCTCGCTGTCCACCACGTTGGCCAGGTATTCCTCCTCCAGGTTGAGGATGTGGTCAATGGCTTCCTCCACGTTCTCTGGGAGCCCTGTCACAGTGACGAAGTTGGGGTCTGGGGCTCCGGTCTGTGGAAAGCGAATGTCCACCTTGAATTCGTCCATAATTTTTCGAATGGCTTTGCCGCGGGCCCCGATGATAGGGGCGTGAACACGGTGGTCCAGCGGGACGTCCTCAGAAACTATCTGCTCAAGTTCACCCACAATTCTCAATATAGCGTCCCTGGCAGCTTCTATGTTGTTTTCGTACCCTGTGATGGTAATTTGGTCCTGAGGCTGGCTCCTGTCGTCCTTATCAGGGAACTGGATGTTCACGTCGTGCTCCAGCCGGATTTGGGTGATCACTGCCCCCGATAATCTTGGGATGGTATATGGGGTCTACAGTGACACTCAGCTTAAAACTCCTTAAAGCCCGGTCCTCCTGCTCGGTCTGCAGCTCCTTCACACGCTCCAGCAGTCCAGCCTTGGCCCGGTCCAAATTTGCGGCGAGGCCCGTGATGGCGATGATGTCAGACTGCAGCTCGGGGGCTGGGACGTGTATGTTCACCTCAAACTCATCCATCACCTTGCGGATCCCACTTCCTTTCTGCCCAATGATGTAACGGTGAAGGTCAAAGGGCACCTCTACTTCCATGGTGACAGGAACCAGTGCCTGCAGGGCTTCCTTGGCAGCCTCGCACTTTTCCTTCCGGCCGGAGATGATGATGATGATGTCACACCTCCTTGGAGAGCCAGGATCAGCGTCTTTGGCCTCTCTCCCCTCCCCAGCTTCGTCCCCGTTCTCCTGGACAACTGGCTCTATACTGTGAACTGGGTTCTCCTCTCTGTCTGGGAATTTAATCTGAACATTGAAATCCCGAGTAATCTGCTGGATTCTGGAACCTCTGGGGCCCATGACAGATCGATGGAATTTCTGGGGTATAGCACATTCTAATGTCACCTGAGCTTCCAGGTCCTCAATGATCTCCTGAATGCGCTTCTTGGCGCCCTTGAGGGTGACTTTGTCCCTCTGTGTGCCGGAGCGTGGGAAGCTGACCGTCACGCCGCCATACTCTTCAGCGATCTCCCGCAAGACCTGGCCCCTTCGGATGACGAAGTGGCGGTGGTGCCTGGGGTCCACCAGCAGGCAGTCTTCCACCACATTATCCAGGTTTTGGATCAAGGCCTCCAGTTCCTTCTGCGCTTCCCGGACGGCGTCCTCCTTTCCGATGATGGTGATCAGGTCCTGGTCCTTGTCCTCGGCCGCAGGGAAGATGATGCGCGCTCCCGTGCTGTCACGCACCTTGCGAATTTTGCCGCCCCCCTTGCCGATGAGGAATCTGTGGTATTCTGGCTTGGCGCGGATGTCAACAGTGAAACTCTTGGTTTGCTTCTCTTCCGCCAGATGCAAGAGCTGCTTCTTGGCCTTCTCCACATCCGAGGAAGGGCCCCTGATAACAACAGTGTCGCTTCCTGAACCTTCATACTTATAATACTTAATACAATATAAATGCCAGGTAATTGCTGATATACTCTATTATTTAGGGAATACTGATAAGAAAAAACAGTCTGTACATATTCAGTACAAACACAATTTTTTTCCAAATACAGTCATGCACTCATAAGGACATGTTTGACTACACATACAATGGTGGCTATACCATATAGCCTATGTGTGTTGTAAGCTATGCCATCTAGGTTTGTGCAAGTACACTCTATGACATTTGCACAATGGTGAACTCGCCTAACAACACATTTTTGAGTATGTATCCCCATCATTAAGCAATACATGACTGTCACTTCTATCCACAGTTGATTGAATTTATAAATGTGGAATCCATGAATGCCGAGGGCTGAGCATATGTTAATTTGCATTTCTTTTATTATAACAAGTGATGCTGACTATTTTTCCAAGCACTTCACAGACATTTGCCTTTCATCTTCTGTGAACTGTCTCTTAAGACTTTTGGCCATTATCCTCCTATGTTTTTTACTTCAAAAACTTTTTTTTTTTTTTTTTTTGAAACAGAATCTCTTTCTGTCACCCAGGTTGGAATGCAGTAGTGTGACCTCCATTCACTGCAACCTCTGCCTCCAAGGTTCAAGCGATTCTCCTGTCTCAGCCTCCTGAGTAGCTGGAACTAAAGGTATCCACCACCATGCCCGGCTAACTTTTGTATTTTTAGTAGAAACAAGGTTTCACTATGCTGGCCAGGCTGGTCTCAAACTCCTGACTTCAAGTGATCCACCTGCTTCGGACTCCCAAAGTGTTGGGATTACAGGTGTGAGCCACTGCACCTGGCCTCTTAAACAGTAAAATCTTTTATACTTAAACAGCTTTATTGAGATATATTATATATACCATTAAGTTCACCCATTTAAAGTATACAATTCAATGGGTTTTAGTATATTTACGGAGCTGTGCAACCATTGCTATAGTATAATTTTGGAACATATTTAACACTCCAGAAAGAAGCCCCTTACCTCTTAGTAGTCATCGCCATTCCTGGCCCTCACTCCCACCCCACCCAGCCCTATGTGACCACTACTCTACTCTATCTCTATAGGTGTGTCTGTTCTGAACATTTCTTTTTCTTTTCTTTCTTTTCTTTTTTTTTTTGATACAGAGTCTCACACTGTTGCCAGGCTGGAGTGCAATGGCACAATCTAGCCTCACTGCAATCTCTGTCTCCTGGGTTCAAGTGATTCTCCTGCCTTACCCTCCCAAGTAGGTGGGATTACAGGCACCTGCCACCATGCCCAGCTAATTTTTTGTATTTTCAGTAGAGACAGGGTTTCACCAGGTTGGCCAGGCTGGTCTTGAACTCCTGACCTCATGATTCACCCACCTCAGCCTTCCAAAGTGCTGGGATTACAGGCATGAGCCACCGTGCCCAGCTATTCTGCACATTTCATATAAACGGTATCATACAATACGCAGTCTTTTGTGACTCTTACACTTAGCATAATATTTTGAAGTTTCTTCCATGTATCATGCATCAATACTCTTTGTTTTTTTAGTTATTTATCTATGATGGAAATTAGCTATTTTGTGTAATTTAAACTACAAATTTTCTCCCAGTTTTTCATCTCTTTTGATTTTGTTTATGATGTTTTTGCCAAGCAAAACCCTATGCATATATCGGCCAGGTATATTGGCTCACACCTGTAATCCCAGCATTTTGGGAGGCCAAGGTGGACAGATCACCTGAGGTCAGGAGTTCGAGACCAGCCTGGCCAACATGCTGAAACTCTGTCTCTACTAAAAATACAAAAATTAGCCAGGTGTGGTGGCATGCGCCTGTAATCCCAGCTATTTAAGAGGCTGAGGCAGGAGAATCCCCTGAACATGGAGGGAAGAGGTTGCAGTGAGCTGAGATTGTGTCCCTGCACTCCAGCCCTTGTCTCAAAAAAAAAAGTCTATGCATATACATGTGTATATATAAATATAAATATAAATATATATATATATATATATATATATATATATACATACATATATGTTTGTGCATATATGGATACAGCTGTAGATATAAATGGATAGACTTGAATTTATCAATCTTTCTCCATGGCTTCTGGAATTTGAGTTATAATTAGGATGGCTTTCCTTTGTCCAGATTGTAAAGAAATTCATGTATGTTTTCTTCTTGAACCCGTTATGTTTTCGTTTTTTTGTACACTAAAATAAGGGATCTGTTTGAAGTATATTCTAATGTAAATTTATTTATTTATTTATTTTTTGAGATGAAATTTCATTCTTGTTTCCCAGGCTGGGGTGCAATGGTTGAATCTCAGCTCGCTGCAACCTCCACCTCCTGGGTTCAAGCGATTCTCCTGTCTCAGCCTCCCAAGTAACTGGGATTACAAGTATGCACCACCATGCCCAGCTAATTTTTGTATTTTTAGGAGAGATGGAACCCCATCAGGTTTCATCAGGTTGGCCAGGCTGGTCTCAAACTCCTGACCTCGTGATTCACCCCCCTTGACCTCCCAAAGTGCTGAGATTACAGGCATGAGCCACTGGTGCCCATCTTTTTTTTTTTTTTTTTTTTTTTTTTAAGACAGAGTTTTACTCTTGTCACCCAGACTGGAGTGCAATGGCACAATCTACACAATCTCCTGGGATCAAGTGATTCTCCTGCCTCAGCCTCCCAAGTAGCCGGGATTACAGGCCTGAGCCACTGCGCCCAGTCCTTATGTAAATTAGGGACATAAACACTCCAGTTATGCTAATGCCATTATTTAAAAGTGAATCTTTTTTGGCCTGGAATGGTGGCTCATACCTGTAATCCCAGCACTTTGGGAAGCCAAGGCGGGTAGATCACTTGAAGTCAGTAGCTCGAGACCAGCCTGGCCAATATGGTGAAACCCCATCTCTACTAAAAATACAAAAAGTTAGTTGGGCGTGGTGGCACACACCTGTAGTTCCAGCTATTCAGGAGGCTGAGGTGAGAGAATTGCTTGAACCCGGGAGACAGAGGTTGCAGTGAGCCAAGATTGCACCACTGCACTCCAGCCCGGGTGACAAAGCAAGACTCTGTCTCAAAAAATAAAAAAGTTAATCTTTTCCCCAGTAATTTCAGATTCTGCCTTTGTCATATGCTAAATTTCCCTGTGTACTTCAAACTATTCCTACTGGTTTGTATGCCTAGCCAGGAACCAACACCACACTGTTTTAATTATCAGATCTTTATAGAAAGTTTTAATACATGGTAAGACCAGTCCCTTTTATTGCACTTGCTCTTGAAGATGTTCATAAGTATTCTTGCTTATTTATTTTTCCATATGAAGTTTAAGATTCTGTGCCAGGAAAAATTTTGCTGGCATTTTTATTGGGATTATATTAAATTTATACATTAACTTTATTTATGTTGATTGGTTCTATTCAAGACAAGGAATGTGTTTCTATTTTTATTCTATTTTGTTCTATTTTTGTGATTTTTCAGGACTATTTCAAAAAAGTTCTCATACAGGCTTCATGTGTAATCTTTTTTTTTTTTTTTTTTTTTTTTGAGACGGAGTTTCGCTCTTGTTACCCAGGCTGGAGTGCAATGGCGCGGTCTCGGCTCACCGCAACCTCCGCCTCCTGGGCTCAGGCAATTCTCCTCCCTCAGCCTCCTAAGTAGCTGGGATTACAGGCACGCGCCACCACGCCCAGCTAGTTTTCTGTATTTTTAGTAGAGACGGGGTTTCACCATGTTGACCAGGATGGTCTTGATCTCTTGACCTCGTGATCCACCCGCCTCGGCCTCCCAAAGTGCTGGGATTACAGGCTTGAGCCACCGCGCCCGTCTCATGTGTAATCTTTTAAACTATAGCCCTATCCTCTATGAAACCAGGTCAACTGAATATCACCAGTCATGGCTACTCTTCTCTTTGAGGAGAGCGGGGGAAGGGGGCTGCCAAAGAGCAAACATCTACATTCTTCTTCTTCTTTTTTTTTTTTTTTGAGATGAAGTCTTGCTCTGTTGCCCAGGCTGGAGTGCAATGGCATGATCTTGGCACACTGCAACCTTCACCTTCCAGGTTCAAGCAATTCTCCTGTCTCAGCCTCCCGAGTAGCTGGGATTACAGGCATGTGCCACCACGCTTGGCTAATTTTTGTATTTTTAGTAGAGACGGGGTTTCACCATGTTGGCCAGGCTGGTCTTGAACTCCTGACCTCAGGTGATCTGCTCACTTCGGTCCCCCCAAAGTACTGAGATTACAAGCATGAGCCACGGCGCCCAGCCCAAACATCTACATTCTACTTGCCCTGATTCTTGTTCACTCCACTGAGGATTTTACATATATTTATATTACTGGCTATGATATTTAACAGTGTCTTTAGGAAGCTTTATTGTACAATATGGCTAAGCATAATGCATGATGGGAAATAGCTTGGAGGGTGGATTTGGGGATACAGTATATAATAGGATTTTGGAGTTAATTGTTTTTTGACTCAATTCAGAGACTTCTAATGGGTACGACTCATCTCCCCAGTAAGCTGATTCCAGCAGTCAGAGGAGAAACATTTTGATCAGACTACAAAATGCAGAATTTCCCTGATATCCATCAGGGCACTTTACCTTATGAGATAGCTGTACTCAGGCTTACTCCAGGCTTCACTCTGAGACCTTCTAGATTAATAGTAGGGAAAACAGGGAAGAATGGGGGAAAGGAAACAGCGTATTTCTTTCCTCAAGTCCTTCCAACCTTGCTTCACCTTAGAGAACAATGAGGCTTATTAAGTGGGGCCAGCAGCAATCTTGTGTAATTGTTCAGCCTCTTCTCTGTTGACTCCTCAGCCTCTTTTGCCACCCTTGAGTTACCCACAGCTTGGCTAAAATAAAAGACTTCTTCCAGGTTTCTCAGGCTTTAAATCTTTCCTAGTATACCTGTTCCTGCTTAAAATGTACCAGAACATCCACACAACAGGGTACTATATACCTATAAAAGAATTGTGGAAAATCTCTATATTTAACTGTCCAGTGATTTCCAGGATATATTGTTCAGAGAAAAAAATCATGGTATAGAAAAATGTGTACAGTTTGCTACTATTTATCTAAGAAGAAAGGAATAGAGATATATGCAGAGATGCTTGTACTGAAAGTAAACAATGGAAATAGCCCACAG